TCCACCACGTCGCGACACATTTTGTTGCATTTTGTGGAAGGGTGACCATAAAACGAAATGTGTCAGACGAGTAAGACCGACTGCCACGTTAAAACAAATAAATGGGTTGCCACCACTCGACCAGGAGAGCGAGCAACGTTTCTGTCGCAAGTTCACATTGACCTCCATTGTTACCTTGTTAATAACAGACTGGGTTTAACAATGACCACCTGTCTCACTAACCTTTGTGTATGAGTTGTGGGTTATGAGGGATCACACCGTTACCTAGTCAGCAGCTGAAAATTTGTTATCTATTGGTCAACAGTGGAGGGGCCAACATAACATGATCGGTTGAAGGAACTGCCTAACAACAACGACTGGTGATTAGATTATGACGGCTCGTCCACAATGCCCGGGGCCAATGCATTATTATGACAAAACCTAATGGAACCACTAATCTAAGGAGACCATCTAAGATAGGTGTTATTGTTTGGTGTGATAGGGGTTGTGTGTTAAAATATAGTGGCCATGGCTGCGTTGGACAGGTGGCCGTTTTACACACTGAAATTATACAGTTGAACCTGCGTAAGACGGAATCGCAAGGGAGCCAGAAAAAAATTCCGTCTTAGACATATCCTGTCTTAGACAGGGGAATTAATGGGGAGGTAATGGAAAGGGGGAAAGGCCCAGACGGTGGGATCAAGGATTGCTTGTCCGATCGGCAAGCAGTGGTCAAAACTTCACACTTCTCAATTGTTATCCTGTCTGATAATGACATGCATCAGCCTTACTTATCCATTTACCACCAGTGCTTGCCTTTCATAGGACCGCTGGTTGACCTATTACAAACAGAAACGTTTGAACATCTTAGCTTCCACCCTTAGCCCCACCCACCGGTGTAACAAGCACAGTCAACCAATGCCACTCCTCACTGCCATCAAGTAACAACGATTCGAGGAACTCTTTTCTCGGCTGGCCGTACCAGGGCGGCAGGCATTGGTCAATCTAATTTCACACCTCTGACTTCTGGCTACCCAGGAAAGTTTCTATAGTGGCTCGCTACTTGAGCACTCTCACGGGCAGTCGTGAGATTTCACACCCACACCACCTTGACCATCTGCATCCCTCTGGGCTCACATGATGGGGAAACATCTACCCTCAAATTGCACCCCTACTCCCCTTCCTCACCCAGCGGCATGGCCATGGCGTTAAGTTTTGAGCCGGCGGAACCAAACTTGCGGGTATTGTTTCAAAACAGGGAAGAGCGGGCAAAGGATTTTTCGTCTTAGACAGGTGAAACGGTCGGAAGGGAGCGGATTTTTCTTTCCGTTTCCGCGTTGGACAGGTTTCCGTTTTATACAGGTAATTAAAGAGGAATATATCAAGGGGGGAGCGGGGAGATTCCGTTAAGACAGGTTTCCGTTTAGGCAGGTTCGACTGTAGTAAAAACGAGGGGGGGGGGGATGGAAAGTTGCCATTCGTACAGGTGGTCGTCTTATGGAGGTGGCGGTCATGGCAGGTTCCACTGTACTTGGTCTCAGTGTGGTGATTAGGGACTAGACCTTGACTAGTGAGACTGAAGATGTAGATCTGCGGAAGGAGTTCCGCAGAGGGCCTGCCGACCAACAGCACACAAAAGAGGGTAATACTGCAGTGTTGCGGTCCCAGTCCCTGAAGTCGAGTAAAATAGCTCACTGAGTTGCCAGGGTGAAAAGACCCTTTTTTAATACACCCGTCGCATGTTCATGCTTTATATACTTCTTTTCTAGTAGTATTCTCCATGCTGAACACGAGGCTTTCATTTTTGCCGCAAATCAATAGTTATTGAGTTATAGATGCTTGTCCGATCGGATGGGGGGTTTCAGGGGGGCATGCCCCCCTGCATTTCACAATCATTTGATGTTTTGGTAATTAGGATTTATATTTACTTGAAAACAATTGATTAGCAAGGGTTTTAGTGGCCATATATGTGTGTTCTACAGCGAAAATTATGTCAGTTTAGCCCTCAAATCAATGCATCTATGTGTGGGTGCATAAGTAAAAATTTACCAAAAGACCCATTTTACACAATTTTTCGGCACTATAACAATTTTGGCTCTAAAGACCGTCACAAACCATTATTTTTGCGAATTTAGCAGGGTTGAGACATCCCCCCCCCCCCTGCACCCCGCCCCCCCCTTTTTTTATTTACATGATCCGGTAGGGTTTTAAAAATTGTTTTGGCTATTTTAATGTGCAGTTTGGCACTGTATGCATTGAAAATCTGGCCAGTATCGTCACCCAGAAGCGTGATTTTACTGTATCCAATTGTCAACAAAGGACCAAGACCACAATACTGCGGTATTAGTATTTCCCAAAAGAGGAGATATTTTAAGCGGGGCATACACCCTAACCCACACTTAACCCATGGCACTCATATATGACCTTATGCAATTGCGAGCGTCATAAAACCTCTACTAGATCTAAAACAAAAAAGGGTAGAAATATTTCGACGGCATTCCGTCTGAAAATCGTAGTTGATATTTCCACAGCATGCTGTCTGAACATCGGAAGTGATACCTATACGGTATGCCGTCTTGAGTCTAAAGATCGGAATTGATATTTCGACGGCATGCTCTGCTTGAAGTGTATCAATGCAAGAATTGTGTTCGTTTTCCAGGCGACGAGTCGGGTGATCATACCTACCCGATCCGACCCGATCCCATCCGCAAATGGGCACCTTACTGTTGGAAAAAAACAACTGTCTTCTCTCCATTTGGCTTGCACAAAATAAATTGTGCATCTCTCACTCTCATTACAATCATACAAAACATTTTATCATTGTCCATAATGCACAAAATGATAGCAAAGGATAAACATTGTTAACTAAACATAATAATGCGTTACTTATGGAAAAGAGATTATAGTCATTATAGGCTTAATTATAAATAGGCCGGCACTATTTCTCCGAACGTTCGGGAAAATAAAGCTCGGCACTATTTCTCCGAACGTTCGGGAAAATAAAGCTAGGCACTATTTCTCCGAACGTTCGAGAAAATAAAGCTAGGCACTATTTCTCCGAACACTCTGAAATCTCATCCTTTCCCGCAAATTTCGGATATTATAAAGATCTATAATTATAGTATAGGCCTACCAAAGATTGTTCGTTTACTATGTGGTTCAAGCAGTCCAAAAATGTCCACAGTAAATATTTATATATAAAGAAATGCTACAACTCCAAACAGTTTTTCGCTACAGATAGGACGTGTTGCCTATGAAGGGTGCTGCTCTTAAACGTAATGTGTTGTGTTCACTCGTGTGCTGTCTAGATCTAGATCTAGATCTACGGAGGGTTATTGATAACGACACATAGAACTGGCATCTGCGTTTGTCACTGCTTCGACCAATGTACTGACACTGGCAAGCCCCTTAATGTGTGTTATTCCATAATTTACATGTAATATCCTGTACTTTAAAAAAAAAAATTACGCACATTTAAGGTTAAATCAGCAAATTTTCTTCGGACAGGTGGACACACCCCTTATTTGTTAATGTTTGTTGTTGTTTGTGGGCTGTTCTAATTTTGATTTCTTTCTGTTGTGAAACCTGTCTTTTTCACGTTTTTACACTCATCTTAAAATCTCTAGACTAGCTCTTGAAAATTGAAATAGATATAGACCCAAAAATTTGCTCCTGTGTGTGTGTGTGTGTGTGTATGTGCGCGGTTGTAAGTGGAGAGTGAGGAGTGTGTGTGTGTGTGTGTGTGTGTGTGTGTTTGTTTTTCGGGCTTTATTTCAGCCTTTATTCAGTAACAGTTCAAAGTATACAAAAATAGAAACACAGGATCCATTCACTCCATGGCTCATGAATGAGTCGTTCGTTTCTTTCAGTTTCACTCATTCATTTAATTCCCCTGTTCTCTCCCGCGGCTCATCCCCGTCCGCATGACTTTCATACCCCACTCCCTCCCTCCAGGCACACACAAAGAAAATCTCACTCTATCCCTTGCACCCTGCGAACCATGGACAATAATATAGGCAAAACACTGCCTGAGCTGCATTCCTTTCGTTCGTGAGCTGTGGACCAGGCCAGGGGGGTCGGTGTCGTCGTCTTGTAGTTGCTGTCGCCTGTGGATATACTCGCACATTCTTCCTTTCACCCGCTCTTTCACTCACACTGTCTCTCCATCCACAGCTCAGCTCGTCATACGTTCAAAAGTTGCCCACTGGTCATGTTTAGTTAGTGTGTGTACATGTGCATGATGGTGGTGTGTGTGTGGTGGGTGTTACTGAAGGTTGTCTGTAGGCGGGCTTGCCATGCGGTGTTCCTTCCCAGACCAGAGGCAGAATGAAAGTTGACGCCGAACTCTCGCAATTTTTCGACGGCCTGCCGTATAAATATCCACTTCCAACAAAAAACAAATAACCCTAACCCTATGGCCTTATCTCTTGTAGATTGCTCTGTGGACCTTGTGACGGTTGCTGGCCCTCTGCTGTACTCCTCCCAGATCTACACATCAAGAGACAGTTCCATGAGGGAGGATGCACCACGCACCCCACCCTACGTTACTCTAGAATCTAGGCTTAATAAATTAAATACTAGATTCTAGTCTACTTTACACCGTCTATCTATTGGCAGTGAGGCGTGGGGGGGGGGGGGGGGGGGGTCGTGCGTTGCCGTTGGCGTTACTACGAAATTCATTTCAGTAATCCCGGATATGAACTCTTCCCCTTAACAATTTAGTGCAATAACTGCCATTCATGAACATTTCTTGCCGTACAGATTGTACACTAATCATGACTGATTAGACTAATTAGAGATGAACCGAACCGGCTCGAGATCTCATGATGTCTCTAACTCCACGCGAAAATGGGGATCTCCTGTCAGTCACCTTCAAGCGAATATTTCAGACATTTACAATCTAAACCTAATCTAGATCTAGATATAGATCTAGGCATAGAATCTAATAATAAAAAAAGAGCATGAAGTTTACAACAGAGTAAACAGAATTCTAGCAACTGATAAAATAAACGTATACTTACAGTCTAAGAGAAATGGGTATTCTACTAATTCTAGTCGAGGAACACCTCTTTCGTTCAGACAGGCACAAGCGTGAACAAGGACCAAAGCTTGCTTGGATATTGTCAGGAAGTAGAAAAGTCGCCGGCATCGTATGTTAGAAAAATTTTCATTGGCTGCTGCATGACCTCATAATTGGAATGCTCGTTGCTATTGGTTCACAAGAACGAGTGACTTAACACGGCATAGGTTAGCCCAGCTTGGCCAAAGACAGAATTATTATACAAGGTGAGAGGTCAAATAGAAAAACGCACCAAGAGAGAAAGAAAAACAAAAAACGAAGAGAAACGAAAGAGCAGGGTGATATCGGTGAAAAACAAGCCCTCCTAACCTCTACGTTCACACACTAAACAAAAATTTCCAGAACTGTACCGTCCATCAAAGCTGAACATTACTCGGCAAAATACCGTATAGGCTATTCATAGGCATTTGTCAAGTAAAGTAACAGAAGAGATAAATCATTATAATGATAATAATGTGACCCTCCCCTCCATTCTGGTTATTTTCATAGACACCACTCTATAAAAACATGCACACCGAGAGTCAGAGTGACGCATAATTCGAATCCAGTGAGAGTAGACAAGAGCAGTTTTGCAGTGTGTTCAGCAGTAGGCATCCGGAAAGGCAAACAGGCTGAACTGCAAACAAATCAAGTTGCTATAGTAAACAATAGGCCTACAGATTGAGGCGATTGGGTGACTGCGAGATACGTTCTCAAGACGAGCCACGCCAAGGCCTTCGTTATAACACGAAGGCCATGGCCACGCCCACCAACTTAGAAAGGAACGAAAACCTGTAAACAAAAAAATTCTTGCTTATATTTAAATAAATTAGCGAGCTGATTTGGTTGTAGGGCTGTTGTTGTTTTTTTCTTTCATATCTACAAAAAAAACCTACAAAAAACAAATTATGCTATAAAATCAGTACAAGTCTGCACCAGGCACTTCTTCTAGAGTTCAAGTGCACCATTTTGAAATTCGTCAAAACTCAAAATTTGCAGTTTCCTTTCAGAAACAGAAAAATAAACCGGATAGAACAACGCATCATTGAGCCCCACTGATGACTATATTTGTCCAAAAAACAGCACAGTTGCTACAGGCATGCTCCAGAGCAGAAGGTCAATATTATATTCCTTATTTACTAAAAAGAGGAGTCCTGGTTGCAAGACGATGGCACTGACCATGTTTCAATTGTTTTTGTTTTGGGGATGTTTTGTTGGTTGGGTTTTTTTTGTTGGGTTGGTATTTTGTTGTTTTTTTGGTGGGGGGTTTTGGGGGGGGGGGGGGGGTGTTTTGTTTGCTTTTTTTAGGTGGGTGAATATGTGTGTATAGTATGCGTGTGCGTGCGAGCGCGTGTTTTCTTGGCGTTCATCAGTGGTAGTTCGTCTCTGATGCCACATGACCATGACAGCCCGCTAGGCTAGCTTTTTAAAATCGAACTCTTAAGAGAACCCCCTGAAATAAAGCAAAATTGTGGGTGGTTGGCTGGTGCTCTGGTGTGGTTTGCTTCTTCTTTCCTATCAAACATCTATCGCCCTTATCTCCCCTTTTTCTTTTTAATAATGACAATAATAATAATATATAACATTTATTTAGCGCATTTCCCAAAAAAAGTAGCTCAATGCACTTTACATTGGAATACCCATTTTTCAAAAACCTTTCTTACTACTTCCTTTCTTCTCATGCAATATACATTAATGCACACACACACACACACACACACACACACAGAGAGAGAGAGAGAGAGAGAGAGAGAGAGAGAGAGAGAGAGAGAGAGAGACTATTTTCATCCAGACATAGGAACAGAACAACTATAATGAAAGATAACGTTAAAGGCTTATGAAGGATAGGTCTGCAGGAACAGAAAATGTTTAAGATGTCTTTGGAAGCTATCAAGTGTTTTTATTTGTCTTAGTTTCATGGGTAATCTGTTCCACATAAATGGACCAAGATATGAGAAAGATGTTTGTTACATGTGTACTGTCTTGTAACACCTCTTAATCTTATCTTCTGGCGCTCATAATATTAAATGACCGTATGCATTTGCGAGCGCCGTAAAACCTCTACTAAAAAAAAAAAGAAATTGCCACATCTGTATGACCAGTATGTATTATATGTGTACCACTGGCCACAAACATTTCCCCTGTTCTCTTTTGGTGTACTCACTCCTGCTAGATCTCAGTAAGAAACTGACTGCAATATCTTCATCTCACACTGTAGTCGATTTTTATACATGGCCATTTTATCTACACATAGAAGGTAGAATCATCACTTGTCTTACAAACAACTATGTGCCGTTTTGAAGGTACTCTTATTCTTAGCGTATGTACTATACAGTGGAACTCGGATTCAACGAGATGAGATAGATTCCCTGTTGTAGTTTTTTTTTCTTCTTTAAAATCAATAAAAATAACCCGGATTCAACGAGCACTTAAATCAGCGAGCTCGGATTCAACGAGGTCGCTTCCAGGGTGAACAGCCACTGCAGACGTGGCGTCGCTCATTTTTCTCCCAGAACGAACTTTTTCTATTCCCGGAAACTCCATTGCACCTGCATCGTGAACCATTATTCACTTAGCCGACTGCATGCAACCAGTCAGCGGCCTCTTTTTTCATTCCAACACACATGCGTTGTTGGCACGCGCACGTGTCTACTACTCTGGCGTGTGTCGGGGTCGGATGGGCGCCTGAACACGTGTGGCTGTGTGCGTGTCGGGGAGGGGGCACAAACGGTTCAGGCGTTGAACGTCGCAAATACAAAGGCGTCACAGTCTTTTCTCCCCTCGGCAACTGATCATTATTACAATGATAAGCTAGTCTTGATGTAGATCTACGTAATGAATTGTGCGCTGGTCTATGGAATCAACAGTTGCGGTAAGCTAGGCTCAACTCAAATTTTTGTTAAACAATCAAGATGACACAGGCGTCTGCATTTGAACGAATCGGTCTTTTCTTTTTTTACACAGCTCATAAAAAGGCGACTCGTTGAATCCGAGTTCCACTGTGTGTATATATATATATATATATATATATATACTAGTACTAGCTGGGCGCCCATTCGATGAAAGGAATGATCGGTGCATTGACATCAACTGAAAGTCACTGCCCTATAACTACTACTATATTTACACTCTACTGGAATGGAGTAATAAATCTTGAGAGATGCCATAAATTAGAAGGTCTAGATCTATACTCTCAAAACAAAATACGCCTTGCAAAATATCACTTCCGCTATGAAAAAGGACAGCTACGCAGATCAGTCTCGTTTCTCAGTGGAATGATCACAAAGGCCAAAGGACAGGAACTTTTTGTCAAATATATTTGTCTAAATTTAGGAAATGAATAAATAAAAAATCGGGCTCGGTCATGGGGACCTATCTTTTTGCAGGTACAGGAACTTGCCAACTTTCAACTCTGTAGTTGCCGTAGTTTTATGGGAAAAGTATTTCCAAGTTGCCAAATATATAATAGATACATTGACAATCCTTTAGGGTAGGGATTCATTTTGAATTTTACCTGGACAACAGCCCAAAGCACCTGCCGTACTCTTTTCAATTTTATAACCGCCAAGGAATCTTTAACACACACAACTTCCTCAAGTGACCTCCAAAATTGTTCATCCATAACCACGAGAACTAGGTACTCAATTCCACCAACCCTAGGATCAGGCGCTATAGAAAATTAGGGAAATGTTATGTGTAAAACTAATCCCTCTATATATGATCCTAATGCAGCCCCTCCTCAAAGTACTTGTGTATTGAGTACACACAACATCCATTATGACACAAGCAAAACTATTAAAGCCTTCAAAAGATGACTTGTCATTTTATTGCAAAGTTTCATTTCATAACTGAAAGGCTTTTTATGTATACTTTAAAAAAAAAACAAAGAAAAAAAAAACCTTGCATGCACACACGAGTACTTGGGAACACAATCATCTAGCTTATGAGGTTTTTTGTTGTTTTTTTTCTAAATGAGGCAAAGTACTATACAGACACACTGACTTCCACTGAAAGAATAATCATACATTTGTTAAAATGGCATTGTCAAGACAAAAATATCTTATGTAAGCAAAAATGTAACAGAGGACAAATTCAGAGGGAGCAAACCTATCTCAAACATACTTCAATATCAAAGAAATTCAGTTACTGCTGGCACACACTAAACACCTTACAATGCCACCCCACACTCACTCGTACAAAAAGACAAAAACCAATAACTGGAATTATTTATGTAATGAACCCATACTAAATCCTCACTTCCCAGCCTGTTTTAAACTTTCCAGAGAGTTAACTTCGTTAAGAATTATGCACCAGTGAAGCATTGCCGAGTCTTTACAGTACATGCAGCGGGCACTGTAGGTACGTCAGACAAGGACAAATCATGGCACAGGCTGTGTACACCAAAGTACAGGTACGATACCAAATGTTAACTAACCCCCATGAGCATGAACTTTAGACAAACTTTTTCAAGTGGTACATTTAACACTGAGTCATACTTTCCAAGATCCTCACATTAACAAGGCCAACGGTGAGAAGAGCAGAGCAGGCTCTGCAGGAATTTCCTCTTCCATCAAATCTCTAAACAAAATATCCCGTAAAATTCATTGTGTTTGTGCGTCAAAAGAAATTTAAAAAAAAAAAAGAAGCAAATTTCAAATGCCTGTTAACTCCCTTTCATGGCCACAATTCGCAGGTACAACCAAAGCATTAGCATTCCGAACAAAGTAAAACTGCGGCACATTCCCTTGTGTTTGAATCTGAATAAAACTGAAAGCCACTTATAGATTTGATGAATATGCAACAGAACACTGGCATGGTAGAATAACATGACATCCATATGAAACACTGGGAAAACAACTTGGGGTGGGAGAGATATATAAAACAGAATGACGCAATGCATAACATTATCAATAAATAGATGCTGGTCTACCCCGTTTGTACAATTCTAGTCATTCAAGAGACCACAGTCTTCTCATTTTCCCAAACTGAAATAACCAAAACATTACTGAAAAGAAGATATAATTAAAATTTTCAGTTTAAAAAAAAAGGAAAAAGACCTGAACCCTGATATCAAACTTTCTCCCTCTTTCAGTAAAACCTACAAACCTTCTCCCTCTTTCAGTAAAACCTAATCAGCACACAACAATATAAGAGGCCATGGGGATAATAGGGCATTCCATATATGACAGCTAGTTTAAAATACACTATCAAAAGTCCAACTGACATGGCTGTAAGGCCGCTTAAAAACAAGACAGAGGCAAAAAAGTGTGAGAATATACAGTTAAAAGTTTGCAACGGAGGAGGCGTCACAGGAGAACAGAGGCATGTTCATAAACACACTCACACAAGGAAACACACCAAAAATTATATGAAGTTGAAATAAACGCTGTCCAGTCCCACGATGTATTGCAGAACCCAGACAACACCCATATATAGTTCCATACTAGAAGATTTATAAGTGAAAACATGGGTAGTCTATAAAAGGTTCTAGCATAATTATGTTTTATGTATCTAAGCTCGGCATTGATTGATATTATTCCAAAATGGATGAGGTACCTTACGTGGAACAAATCAACTTCATCTGTCCCTTACTTGTGTTATGGTGACGGTGATCATGAGCAGATATACACCAGTGCGAATTCCGTCACGAAAGGGTAACTACACATGGGTGTGTATCCCGTCAACTATGGCTTAAAATATGCCATAGATGGCCATAAAATGTTTAATGGCTATACAATATTTTTTTTAAACTAAAAAACCCTGAAGTGTCACAGGGTACTTTTCCACGGTGAATGATTCTCTACCACATGACAGCACTAAACGTCTAGGGACTATCACTCAGGACAAGACCCAAGATACACTTTCTTCCCTAACACACACTCTAAAATATTCCATGACTTTTCGAAGAGACATCAGTGAACATTAAAGGCAAGCTAAAAATGTGTATAATATTTATATAAATAGACATAAATCAGTAGATCTCGCGCAAATCAAGTGTATCTCTTGGAATGCCTCTCCAAACGACAATACATTTGCTCATGTATTTTATCCCACAATACCCATTCTGAGACCTTTACTTTGGTCAAAAATAAATGAAAGTTGCATCACAAAAAGAACACCCAACTTTGTTGTACAGCATAAGAATGATAAGTAAATAAATTACTGTCACTACAAAACAAGCAAATAGCACTTTGCTGGACAAAAGATTCAATTCACTCTTACAGATTTACAAAATACAAGGGACAGCGCATTTTGAATGACTGGAAATGACAGCAGAATAACATTCAATTCATCAAAAATATTTTTATTCACTACTATGAATGTACTACTTTAAATAAATAAAAATAGCCACCGCAGAGGGGTGACAATGCTGAATAACACTTTTTGCTGACTACAAAAAATGACCAAATAATCATACCTCAAAATACTGAAACTAGAGACACTTCCTCAACTTTATGTATATGTCTACATTTCTTTGTGTCCCTTTAATATCACTGCAAGTGTGCACAGACACTCATACTTTGACAATGTGTCCGGGAGACTGTGTGCACCATTGCTGTTTTAAAGTCATTAAATTAAGGAATATTGCAATACTGCATCAGTTTGATTGGAGACATTTGTGTCACTGCAATTCAAGTCAATGTGGGGGAACAAAATCATCACAACCAACTCAACCAACATTCATGAAACAATGACCGCTCAAAAAAGAGTGAACAGATGTTCAAAAAGTTGACGAGAGAACAAAGCAAAGACTCCAAAACGAAACATCCACCTGGGTGCAGTACAGGTTGCAACAGAGAGGAGAAAGCAGAGCCAGCATATGCCAATGAGGCTCAATAGTAAGGCTGGTACTACAAGACCCTGCACAGGAGCAGGACATCAATGGAGTCGCGATCTCAACAGAGAAATGAAGCTCACTTATTCTTATAACCTCAGCATTTCTCATTTCAAGAGCAACACTGTCCAGAGTCACATTCAAGAACACGATAGTCATAAATAAAGTACTTCTGTACCACTTCTAAACTTACAGTGGCTCTGTCATATAAATATTACTTGAGCCTGTAAAAAATTTATTTAGGTTGAGCAAACAAGACTAAAAATTATACAACACGCTTTGCAATCACGAATTTTAAACCATTACAAAGAAAAAGTTTTAACTTCATTTTGACTGCTCAGTGTAAGACTCAACCATACGTTACTTTTTAAAATGGTGTACAGCAGAGCCCTACACTAAGCAGTCAATTTTAACTTAGGTGCAATTATCTAAACTATTCAAATGTGCATACTAATATTTCAATGAACACTACACATACTCCTTTTCCAAAGAAATGAAAATAAAATAATCTGGCAGTTAGTTGGACTTTCAAATAATCACTTTAGATATTGTCAAAATAGTGCACATGCTGTCGTGACCAAGTCCAAATCAAAACAAGTCCACAAATACGGGCAAAGCCGAAGCCTCCCACCAGATCCACAATCAATCAGCTGGTTTGATCAGGCAAGAAGCAACAAGAAACAATGGACAAATACCATTTGCTGGGATGTGAAAAGCGCTAGATAAAAATATAGCCATTTCCAGTGTTGAAAAGGGCTTTCCCCATTTTGTACATTTCAGATTCTGCCATGCACTGTGCAGTTCTCTCCTACCCTTAAGTTCTAACTCATTTTGTAGCAATATTTTGAGTAGAGAAAATATGTTTATGAATGGCCAGGGTACACAATACTTCCACATATTGAAGTCACAGTGAAATGGAATACTGCAACACATCAGCCACACAAAAGAAATCAGTGAAAAAAAATCTGAGGCAACCCACTAGCTGTCCAGTAAAAAACACAGGCACTTCAGTTACTTTTATGGACTACACTCCGGCACACTTTGTAAATTTTTGGGCAACAAATAAGCACTCCTGTTCTAATACACATTATAATGGGAGTAGAAATGTAAATACCCACAATCTCATTGCGCAAAATACAAGGCCGTAATATTGTGAAATTTGTACCTAAAAAAAAATTAGTATAACCTGTGCAAGACAGCCACGCATTGTCGAGGGGAAAAGTGGCCGTATAAGACAGGTGGCCGTCTTAGGCAGGACGGATCAAAATTTTAAAATAACAAACTATTTACTCCTGGGGTCCCAACTGGAGGTGGACACATGTTATGACTGCCCTAGGGCTGATCAAAATGTGTTGTTGTTTTATTTCTTTTGAAAGGGGGGAGAGGATAGGACGGTTTTTGAGGGACTTTTTGTTGTTAGTTTTATTTTTATTTTTGAATTATGGTTCCGAGATAGGTCAAAACAAAACTAAATGTTTCAGAAGAGGAAGGCAAAGTGTCACAGTAAAACAAATAAATGGGTCTCCACCACTCGGCGAACGAGCAACTCTGTCGCGAGTTTGTGTTGATTTCCATTGTTATGGACTTGATTTACTGAGTAGTGGGCGGAAATTATAAGTCATGACGGATCATACGCTTCCCTTACTAGCAGCTGAAAATTTATTGTCACCCATTGGTCAACTTGGGTAAGCATTGAGAGTGACCTAAGCAACATGACGTTTCATCCATTGGAGGGACTGACAACAATGACAGGTGAATGAATTACGATGGCTTGTCAACAACGTCAGGGGAAAAAGCATAATTTTTGACAAAGTCTGGAAGTCTTAGATAGGTAGATTTGGCAATGGGTTGACAAAATAGGGTAGCCATGGCCGCATTGGACAGGTGTCCGTTTTACACAGTAAAATTATAGAGAAATAATGCAAGGGGGGAAATGGAAAGTGGCCGTTTCTACAGGTGGCCGTCATGACAGGTTCGACTGTAATAAAATTGGCTTATTGGTGGGGCATAAATTTCAAAGTTGAAATATTTCAACTATGAAAAACATAATTTTAGAACTTTATCTTTAAAATCTTTTTCAAATTGTCATAAAATACTGGGAAATGCTGGAAAAGATGGAATGCTAACAGTCAAAATTTCAACCCTCACTTATCATATCAGCTGCATCACAAGAGATATAAGATGGTAGCTTCAACATGTTTACAACTGGTAAAGGTACGTGAAGCAATCAATAAAAAGCTGAAAATGCAAAAATTAAGTGTATCCTTTTGCTAAAATGGTGAGTGATCGCAAAATATACATCCTCATACAATGATCTATCTTAAAATTTAGTATGGAAGAGGGGGAAAAAAATTATGGCAACCTAATTGAGTAAGCAGCCACCCTGCTGATGCCGAGTTTGAGCACATGCCAATTCTGAACTCATGAACTGAACATTATAACACAAAATCCTTTTCTACATATTTACTACACTAGCACTTCAGAAGTTGATACTTTTCCAGCCTGTTGGCACACAAAAAAACAATTTTATATCAAGATCCAGCTTTAGAATTCATATTTGTCCAGTCTCTCCCCTGAACAGAAGAACCTGATCTGTCTTTATTACAGTATTTACAGTACATTAAATGATTACAAATTGAAATAAACTTCAATTCCATACAAACCTTGGCCATATGTTCCCTTTACCTAAAACTGACCACTACACAAAACTTGCATTTCGGTCTTTCTATACTAATTTACTGAAGAAGTATGTTCCTTTAGTCTGATGTATCCTTCCTGATGTTTTGCTATAAGCATGTACTCACAGAACAAATCTAATGAATAATCCACAGTTCCAGTCAGCATTACACTCTTGGACGACGTGCAGACACGAGTGCTGAGTATGAAGGAATGCATCGATCAATCTTTAAGGTAACTTCTGGCCACAAGCCATAACATAGCAATAAACACCAAGGACTGATATGCTGTTAAAAAGTATGTTGCATTACAATGGAGTTGGCAGGCAAAACAGTCACAGTGCTGCATATGGAGCAAGCACCTGTGCATATCACACAACATATAAAATATGTATTGACAAGGGAAAAGGAAAAATTACTTTACACAATTAATTGAAGAAAAGGCAAATATCTTCCAATGACAATCTGTACACACTGTCACATGTCTGTTTGACAGTCCTGGTGGCCTAGGCAAATGAAGCATCATCAAAATTTGAAGTGCTCTGTAGCCATGTCAATGGCCCATCGGAACTTGTCCCTCTGGGTCTTGTTGTACACCTTCTCAATTGGTACATCAAATTTCTTGCACCTGTGGGGAACAAAAACACACTTTTAGCCTACAAACTCAAGGGACGTAACATACAATGAGGGTGAAATTCAACAGACATGTATGAGACTGAACAACTTAGTTTTAGTAAGAGTTTTATGGCACTTGCAACACAATAAGGTCATATAAATGCTGAAGATAAGAGGAGTTACAAGAGAGTAACAAACACAAAAAGAAGGAGGAGAGATGAGGACGATAGATGTTTGGTAGGAAAGAAGGAATAACGCAATAAATACTTTTTATAGGACAAAACTGGTCAACACAACGAAAAATCATTACCGTTTAGTTTTAGTTTGAGTTTTACAGCACTTTCAACACTAACAGATTATACCAATACTGAAAATTAAATCTTACTAGGGAACAATACACAAAGAAAAGAAAGTGGAGAGGTAAAGATGACAACAGATGTTTGATAGGAAAGAAGAAGCGCACGATATCAGAGCACCCACTAAGTATAACATCAATGATACACGCTGATGCACTGCTTTCAACCCACTACTGAATGTCTTGATCATCCCACAGCCTCAGCTTGTGACCTGCCTAGTGTCAAGCCATAGAAGCAAAAAAGTCTTCACAAGAAGTGGATCTACTAAAAATAAAAACATATCTTGAACAAACAATATTTACCAGGCCACCGAAATCCTGGGGTCGAGATAGTTGAGTTTGGAGGTACCAAGAGCAATCTCCTTGTTCTCATCCTGAGGACAGCAAAACAGTTTCAGGTAAAGGCCACAACTATATCACAAATGACATAAAGCAAAAATCAGGGAACTATCGTCAAATAAAAAATAAAAAATACTGATACATTTTTAAAATAAATTAATTTATAACTGAAAAGCATATACCAAAGGCCTTGTGGTTGGTTCAATCCCACATGCTTTGGTGACAATCTTTCCCTAGTAACTTACTCTCTTGACCACTCAATCTATCCAATAGCCATAACAACAGAGCATAATTTCATTAAAATCCACTGTAGCCAGTTGGGAACAATGTTCCACTGGGTCACAATGTCGGGCTCATGACTTGAAACAAATGCTTCACAGAAAAAAAAACCAAAACCCATGAAACAAAAGTCTTACCTTGTCCGTAGCCTGCACTTCCAACTTGGTTAGCTGCTCCTCAAGTCTTTGAAGAGTCTTCTTCTTTTTCTCATACAACCTGCAGCATGAAGAGGGAAAAACATTACAATGTTGACAAACCTTGGATCGGCATCCTCCTTACTCCAATGTCAAAACAACCATTGTGCAATAAAACAGAACTATGATTTTTTTTGTTTAACAAACAGTCATTGCTACCAGAACTAGTATGCATATTTGATACAAGAGAAACTGTACGTGCTGACAGATGAACAGCCCAGTATATAATAGATACCACAGACATAAGCCTGAAGCCATCAAAGAGAAGAAGAATATGCAAATTGACTTCACTACATTTTTACCCTTCAAAAGAAAATAGGAACAAGCAGACAGGTGTCTCCATGCTATAATAGAAACACAAAGGAAAAAATTGTATCACTGTGGGTCAGCTTACGTCTTAGTCTTCATTGACTTGGCCTGTTTGTAGTCTGCTTTGATACTCTTGATATCTTTCTTGACTTGCTTGATGTCGTCCTTCTTTGCATCAATCTGAAAATATTTGACACAATTATTAAACACCATTGAATTACTGAATTTTTGCTATATAAATTACATGCCGTTAAGCACGATACTTCGGCTTCAGGCACGCTTCATTTACAAGACAGCCAATACTTTCATGATGACCCATCGAAGTTCGAACAGTCTACACAGCTGCAAGGAGTGAGGACATAGGATCTAACCTAGGGCAACGCCACACATAGATGAAAAAAATACAAAGAAAGTCAGATGTATCACGCGCGAGGTGGGACTAAGGCGAAGGTGTGAATGTGCCACAGCAGCAAGTGGTAGGCCCTACGCACAGGCAGTGTATAGGCCTAATGTGCTGTATCATGACTGGCCGTTTAAATTGAAATTTTCATTTCCCATTAGACCACAGACCGAACTACATCGTTTCTTACAGTAGCCTTCAGAGATTACACTAAACGACGTCTTAAATAGGCCAAAACCAACATCATGGCAGCGAAAAGAACTTGTCTCACAGTGGAGCAAGAGTTGAAAATAATCGAAGAGATGGAATCTGTCCAAGATCAGAACTTTACTGAGACTCGCAAGCATGGCATTTCAAGATTTCCAGAGTGGAAAACTAGAGAGGAAACTCGTAGCACTGCTTAAGATTTTCAAAATCTTTCAAGAAACCGAAAAAAAAAAAAAAAGTTTCAAAGAAGAGGACGTCGATATTACTCTAAACGCCTGGCTAGGTCAAAAAACGATCAGAATGTAAGGATCAATGGACCTATCCTGAAACAGAAAGAGCAACAATTGACGGAAGAGAAGGGTCACAACTTCACGCCATCGGATGGATTGTTAAGCCGCTCCAAAGAACGCCACAGCATTACATTCAAACGAGAGCATGGGAAGAAACAATGCACAGACTCCGAGTCCATCCAAAACTGGAGAGAGTGCATGATGGTTGGTTTACTGAATGATTATTCACAAAATGATATGTACAACGTCGATGAAACAGGCATCTTTTTCAAAGGTCTTCCAGATTGTGGCTGTCTATAGGAATGAGAAAATCAGTGGTGGCAAAAAACAAAAAGACAGACTCACTGTTCTCATCTGCGCCAATATGTCTGGAACTGAAAAAAAGAAACTTCTCATAATTGGGAAAAGCAAATCGCCTCATGACTTTCTCAGCAATGAGCCAAAACTTCCCGTTGGCTATAAATATTCTGACAATACATGGATGACATCAGACATTTTTACCTATTTTCTTCGATCGTGGAACAAATCACTTCGTCTTCAAGGAAGATCAATTGTGCTTCTTGTTGACAACTGTAGTGCACATCCCAACAAAACAGGTCTTACGTGCATTGAGTTGGAATTTTTACTCCCCCAATACTATTGCAACACTTCAACCAATGGATCAAGGCATTATCAGGAACTTTAAATGCCATTATTGTGCTGCGCTGAACAACATCATCATCAGCGAGCTCGATTCCGACTAGTCAAAGAAAGCCAGCGACATTCTACCCACCATCACTGTTTTGAGAACCATTTACCTAATGCGAGAAGTATGGTCGTTGGTTACTTCAGAAACAATCAAAAACTACTATGAGAAGGCGGGTTTCGTCATCAACTCAACAAGCGACGACGTGTCACCCATTATCACCCCTGTGACATTAATTCCACCAGAAAACTTAGACCCTGAAATATTTGAAGAATTTATCGCTGTGGATGAAGACGCACCTGTGACTGGCGAATTAACAGATTGTGAAATTGTTCAAAACACGTTGGAAAGGAAGCGATCCCAAGCGGAGGAGGAAAAGGAGAGCGCTGAAGCTGAAGGAGTAGAAGCGGCGACCAAAATGCCTTCTTCCTCGGAGCTGTTGCAAAGCCTGAACACTATTCGTGTATTCATGGAATCCGCTGGCCTCGCATCTCAAACTAAATTCGGGAAAATTACAAGAGTTGTGCAGGAGAGTGTTATTTAAAATCGCAAGCAAAGCTCCCTCTCCTCTATGCCAAATTACTCCCAAGTTTTTATATTTTTAACTACTTTTTCCACAACTTCTGTTTTCTTCATGTCTGTTTCCTCCTTGATACCACTAAAATTACGTCGACTAGTTCACGTTTACTTTATTCATTGGTGATCGACAAATCTCTCATTTCATGCTTTTTCAAATTGATAGTTTGCAATCTATTATTACCATAAGTTATAAAAAATAAATTTAAAAACAAACAAAAACTATTATGGCAGGTAAAAATGACAGCATACACTTTTGTGCGACCCCAACTTACAAACGAAGGGAAATAACTCAGGAAAATTTCTACACGAAAATCTCTGGATTGTTTACTTCGCACTCGAGCACACTTCAGCATTAAGCACGCTTATGCTTTCTCCCGATGACCATGCTTAAAGCCAGTATGAACTGTACTTGCAACACAATTAGGTCATAATAGTGCTGAAGATTGGAGGTGTTACAAGAGAATTAAAACCACAAAAAGGAGAGATAAGGACATACCCACAAAGAAAACTAACTATTGACTTTAACTGAATGTTCCAACATAGGAAGTAGACCGACTTTCATCCATTTGAAAAAAGTAAAACATTTTGTGAGTACACACCATTCTAGGTAAAGAACATAAAAGTTTTGAAAGCGCAGCTAAGCACTTACTCTGAATGTATCTACACCTCAAAGAAAAAAGAACCCCCCCCCCCCCCCCCCTCTCTTAAAATTCAGTAATTTTGAGAAAGAAAGAAAATCTTTAAAAAATTACCTTCTTCTGCAAATTCTCCATGGACTTTTCAAATGTTTTGGGCACAGCACGTTGATGGTTACACAGAATAGCCACAGCTCTGTTAGCCCTGTTGTAGGACAGCATCTTAGCAGCCACACTGTCGTCCGCTTCACGATGAGGAAAACAAAACAGACAGGTTATTGCTTACATACAAACCAAACGTTGACAGAAATTCAATGCTACGCAGGGATTTCAATATAAACTTAAAAAGTAAAAGCTGAATGGATTAATGATCACGAATCACCCCTGGACTGACTGAAATATCCCGCTATTTAGTAACAGAAATTTTCACATAACACTCTGCAAAGATACAAGGTGAAGCAACTGTACCAAGATATTGCCAGCTATTGCCCGACAATGTGTATAAATTTACAAAGTTTTATCTTCATTTGTTAATTAACATGTGCACCTGTGAGGGCATTTCAATTTTTATCATCATGTCGAACTAAAATAATGTGAAGCACATCCTAAATGTACTTTCCATCCACCCCAAAAAAAGACTTTATAAAGAACTCTGAGAAATACATACGATTTGTGAGTAGCTCCAATTGTTCAGAGAGAGTGCGGGAGGCATTGAACGTACGGAACACCTTAGCTGTCAGCCCCTCCATCAGGTCTTGAAGGTGCTTGTTCAGCACAGTGGTCTGTAAGAAAATTAAAACACAGATGCCATTTACCATATGGCAGATATGTCCCCACCAAAACCCAACAAAATGCGCGTTTCTATTAACACATTTAAAGGGCTAAAAAGCAGCCTTCTGCATCTATAACTGTATTTTCAACTACACGGTGCTTGACAGCACTGAGTAACTACAATTCAGGCAGCCAAAGCAAACTCAACATTGACATCTTTACCCAACAAAGCCACATCTATTATTTAAAAATCCACCACAAAGGAGGTGATACCACGAAGACCAGGTTAAAAGGGGCAAGTTAAACTACTACACTGAATGCTCTGTCCTCTCACTGGTCATGGTTGTGTTTCGGTAGACTTGGAGTATACTCAAGGCATCCACAGCAAACAGAAGTGAAACCGACAATGATTTCTATTGTCTATTCTCTCTTTACATAAATCTGCCACTCCCACAAAAACACTTCCAGGACTCACATTAAGTCGATCAAACAAGTCATCCTCCGGCGACTTGTTCTCCATGAAAAGCTGAACATTCTTGAAGACTCGTTTTTCCACAGGGATGGCGTTGAGGTAGCGGATGGAATCTTTACCCAAAAAGTCAAACTCCACCACATAGTTCTTCCCGTCCTTCTCATTGTGCAGCGTGATGTGTTCCACACGCAGGGAGCAGCAGCCCACTGTGTCTGCAGTCTCACCCTCTTCTTTCTCATTACCAGCTCTCAGAGCAAGCTGCACACAGAACAAAGCCATTATTTAATTCACAAGAAATTAACAAATAAATACCCTGAGAAATCAGGCACAAAAATTTTCCAATTCCTTGTCACTGTAAGCCAGCTTACTCTTTTTCCTTCACGTTGACACATGTCAGAGACCAAAATGAAATACAATCTTTATGTTAGCTCCTGTCACAACAATTTAAACTTGAGCCGCTACTAGCCAATACAAACAATGAACACAACAGCTACTTCCAGCTCCATTTAATAACAAATGGATAACTCTACAGAAAGAAACAATATAAAATCCATTTCAATATTCATCATGTAAAAGGCAAACTGAGGTTGAAATCATTTCACCCAATGGAAATCATTAATCATTTTTACCAGCTGAAGGTGAAGTAAATAAAGAAGACCAGCAAAAGTCTATATATAGCTAGAACTGACCTTGTCAATAAAGTAGAGCGCCACTGCTCTCTGCCTCACTCTCATCTCCTTGGACTTCCAGTCCTCCTGGTACTGAGCGCGGATCTTGTCCACACACTTGTGCAGCTTGCGGGCTGTCTCGTACTTCTGCATGTCCTTCTCTCCCTGCAACACAAAGAACAACTTCTCTAAGCAAACATGTTCAAGAGTACAGTCAATCAATCAATCGTCTATTAATAACAACAGTAACACCTTCATTTAACATTGCTAATGATTTTCTCTTCAATACAATATAAACAAAGACAAAAAACAAAACAAAAACCCATCAACAGACCTGCCACTATATGAAATCTAAAAATCAGGATTTTAGAGTAAAAAAATCAGGATCTAGTGAAAAAAATCGGGATCAACGGCAAATGAGTCATAGGGGGCACTGGGGAAAGGGGTCCTGGTTCCCTTTTATGAGGCAAGTATGCAAGAGAAAACTTTTGCAGGGATAAGTTCACGTTTGGACCTCTAAATAGAGAGAAAAGTGAAAGACAGCATATACATACTCGAGTCGGAGTTGGATAGACTGGGGGAGCGCAGGTTGCAGTAAAGCTGAAACTCTTGTAGTTTTGGAAATAGCTGACACATAACTCTAATCATCCATGCTAAAAGCCCACGTTAACATACAGTAACAACGTTTGACTTCCATCGTATATACACTCAAGCCCCCCCCCCCCCCCCCCAAAAGATCGCGCCAAGGTTGTTCATTAATTTCTTTTTTCTTATTCCTTTATCTTCAATTAGTACATGTATCACGGCACGCACAGCCCAAGTGTCAAAACAATACCCCCACCCTCTCCCACCCCGGTCGTCCACACTGGTTAAGTCCCAAAAAACACCTCGACCAATGCGAACTTTGTTGACCCCGACAACCGACGGTCCCCGACACACGCGCTACTCACACGTACAAGGTCATGTCACGTGATACGAATGAGCGTTTGAAAGTTCCACTGACAGGTCTTGATGATGGGCCCGACTAACCAGAACTCAGACGAAGCTTGCTTTTAAAGCAACGGCAGAACAACGAATAGATTATTCTTAGGCCCATGCCATAATTGTTACAGTAATCAGGACACCATTGGAGAATTCTGGGTTATAAAAGCGAAAGTAGATCTTGAGCGTATCCATGTCGGAATTCAAAATCGATACTACGTCCGTTTAAGTTGAAATAACGTGTGTGAGTCAACTACTAGATTCGGTGTATATATATATGCTTTAGAAAGTAGGGTTCCAAGTTCCTGCCGATAAAAAGTCTAATCAGGGCTTCCGAGCAAAAGAGATTGCAGAACTTTTTTTTTTTTTTTTTCTAAGAATCTGACGCAACAGACGCAACGACAAAAAATCAGGATACTGGCGATCGAAATCGGGAAAATCGGGATGCTTGAGATTTGGGGCCAAAAATCGGGATATCCCGATTAAATCGGGATGAGTGGCAGGTCTGCATCAAAATGTCCCCTTTTCCAATCTATGCTGCAACCAGCTTTGCATGCTCACTCTGAAACTATAAACAAGGGTACACAACAAGTAGACAACTGTCCACAATTGCATTTTGCCCCCCCCCCCCCCCCTCCCCCCCAATGCAGATGATGACAAACATCAAAGGACGTATCTGTGTACCCCTCTCAGTCCACCATAATTTCCAATTCATGACAAACAACACTCCGGCTGTCACTCAACGCACACTTAATTGTTTCCAAAGATTACCTTCAGTTTGGAGGCAGCGTTCAGCATGACATACTTGGTAGCACCTTGGATGTTCTCCGTCCAGGAAGCCAGCCAGGTCACAGTGTTGTCATGACGGACTTCTTTCCACTTGTGACCCTCGGGGGCCTCTGGGATTTTGGAATCTCTGTTGATCACAGTAAGTGATTATTTATACCTTCAAGAATACAAGTTAAAAACTTACATTTATATGTAATACACGCAAATGAACCAACTTGCAGACGTAGGAAGAGAACATGAAAAATAGCCAACGTTCTGTTGGTGGCCATGTTGTATATTTGCAGCCCCGCTATCCCCAATCACAATGTAAATAAAAAACGACAGGTCAACAAGATAACAATGACTCTTCAATTGAATCAGTTGAGACCACTGTTACCACAAGAGCACCTCGAATGGTGAAAATTTAAATGAGGAACCAAAGCATGTCATGTCACGAATTCAGCATTAATATTAAAAACTTCTTCAAATATGCCAAATCAGAAATAAAACAAGATTCTTGTATCTACTACATAGGCAAAACTATCAGATGTTCTTGAGAACTGTTTCATACTGTTACAACTATCAACATACTTTGGTTTCCTTACATTAAAAGATGTAGCCTGTCATCAATGATTTATTTAAGAATGCCTGCAAGTAGGTAAAAATGCTGACATTGGTAAGATACAAAAATGAGCGCCTCCCTCATTTTTCTTTTACATAAACAACATAAAAGCACAACAATATACTGACCTATATATTATAAATTTCTTGAAAGTCAATTTTACATACACAAGAAATGTGACTCCTGTAATGATTTTTAAAAACCCCACATAGACATCACGTTCTTTGAACATGAAAGATATGGTTGTCTTCTTTGATTTTTTCCTTTATTTGGTCTTACCAGTGGGTACACCACCTTCAAAAGTATAAATTTGCATGTAGTAATCCTTATACTCATACACTAACATAACCCAAAACTCACTTGCTGCAGTTGATAATAACATGCTCTGGAATGACCCTCTTCTTCAGCATGCCTTGCTTAGGGTGGTCTCCCCGACCACGGAAAAGGCCTGGAGGTTCAATCTTGAAGTTTCCAATCTTCTCTTTGTGGTGGTCAATGACACAGAAGCCGTACTCTTTGGTCAGTTCTTCGTTCTCTTTCTTGATTTTCTGTGATTTGAGATTTGGAAGGCAAGTTGGAGTAAACTGAAGCACATAATACGTTTACACTGTAATGGTCATTTAGTGCCCAGGAAAAAAGCATGACAAGCAGACAGAAAGAAAAGGGAAAGGTAAGGACAACCAACTGGCGGCGTTCTCAAGTTCACAAATGAAAACAATTGTAAAGCAATATATGTGCCACGACAAGGTAGAATCAGGCGCTCGTCAATTTTGGAGTATATAGAGTTATTGGTATCATCTTAAAGTTTGTTCATTTGTCTTGCATTTGAAGAAAAAATTACTCATCTATCTTGAATGAAGTCGGGATATTTGCGACTGAAGAAGGTGGGGTTGCTTGGTGAGAGAGGAAAATGCAGTGAGAAAATGGCTGCCAAACAAAGCTCCAGTGTCCTTGGAAACTGGAATTTTACATTTTTTGAGCCTTTAATCAATGTTTTCCAATAACATCCACAGAAATGCATTTTTAAAAGGACATAAAAAGAGTTGAGCAAAAAAAATTATTTTTTTTTAAAGGAAAAAAAAAAAAATTTAAATTGCCAAGTGCCCAGAAAAAATGTCGATTTGAACAATTAATTTCATTGCTTTGGCGAACACCTAATTTCATTGCTTTGGCGAACACCTAATTTCATCATGCTGCCTCACATATACATTATTTTGTATTTTTTCTTAAAACAAAATGAAAAACACCCTTCTATTGGTGGATTTAAAACAGTAAACAAAATTTCTTTCAGCCTTGGCATCAGACTCAACAAGCATTTAAATTTCAACCACAAAATTTTAGGGCAGACTCGATAGAACTGTAAAAGGCACACATACATACAACAGAACTGGCAGAAAGTTATGAAGATGAATAATCAAAGGAACTCTGAAAGAGAAAAGACCACTATATCCAACTAACCAATTTGAAAAACCTGTCGAGGACCCGAAAGAAACTCTGAACTCTGAAATATTGCCCGAAATATTTTAGGAGTTGGCAATTTGAGCCCCAACGGCTTTTGACCTCAATCTGTAACACAGAGCCGTCACTTTTGTAGTCATAGATGTTTTACTCCTTCCTCCACACAAATTTGAGCACATACAAGACCAGCAGCATTGACCTAGCCTATTAGGGGCTTACCAGGGCCACAAGAAATACATTTTAGCAAAGAGGCAGGGATACTCTGTAAAATGTCTTCTCGACATGGAAATCCAAGACTTCATAGAATGAAAATGTCTAACCATCACACCACAGGCACTGTGAACCAGTTCATCTGTCCTAACACGGCCAGTATCCATCAAAACTACAACTAAGACCACCGTACCTGTTTCTCTTCTTTTGAGAGATTCTTGCGCTCCTCAGACTTCTTTTTGAAATGTTCATTAATTTCATGGAAGTTGCACTTTTTCAGATCTGTTATGGTTTGCTTCTCCTCATTGGTCATCACCTAAATTATACAAGGAAGAAAAAAAAAAAGCAGTCAGTAAAAATTAAAAGCATGAGAATGAACGCATATGAAACGACATTAAAAAGATTTAACAGAAAATGTTCCAAACAATGGTACACGTCTTTCTTCTAACTGAAGTTAGAGGGAATCAGTTCAACTACATTAAGTACATGAAAAAGACCCCACAACAATCTAGAACTCACAAAAAGTACAATCCACATGAAGAAAATGTAGTTGGCAGTAAATACGGACTTGTGCTTCAACAGTCACGGGAAATAAAATACAACCCCCCCCCCCCTAAAAACACAGTAACATATAGGGAGAAAAATTCCCACAATTAAACTGCATTTAATCATTTAAAATAGAATGAATCAATACCTTCCTCCAGTCTTTCATAAAGTTGCCATTGAACACATCCTTAGTAGTATAGTCATGATCCAACATCCTGCCATAAAATGTGGCCACCTCTTCAGTCTCTGGGTTAAGCTGCATTGGTTTTCCTGAGGAAAAGAATGAAGAAGGAATGAGACTAAAAAACAGTGTAACAGCAGCACTCGAACTATTAAAATAAAAAAGAAATCAAAATTCAGAGTTTTCACTGAATTAACTAGTAAGTAAAATAGCCATTTACACTTTCTTTAACAATTTTTGCTGCCATGAACACCAGAGTATAAAACCTAAAATATACTGCAGAAGATATCTATTGAAAATTAGTGATATGAAGACTTTGTAAAACACTGCGCAAAAGTAAAAAGCAGGACACTTAATTACCAATACATTTGATATGGAAAGTCATGAAAACGGCCAGTATGTTTGGCCACAATCATTACTCTTGCAAGTAAACTACATGTCAAGCTTTATTCCATACCGTCATAATAAAAGCGAACATTCTTGGGCAGTGGCTCGTAAAGCGGTGCAAAGATTGGTCCCTTGTGCTCCAGGTAAGTCCACTTGACACCATTGTCCTCTTTCTTTTCCTCCCACCTGTCAAAAGATACAACTTGCTTTGTTTTCGTTCAGCGCTGTCATAACAGAATGGTCAATGAACACTATTTTGACTGAACCATCATATTCGAACTAAGACAACAAAGATTCCCAAACATTGGGTGCTCTCACTACCGTATGTACAGTGTTTGCCTCATCATCATCATCCAGTGCCAGATCTGCGACAGACATCGGCGATCATGATTTTCCATTCATTCCTTTGCTCGGATGCTCTCAGAAAAGCTACGTTTCCCTGATTTTTCCCTGTTACCATTTGTTTAGGTTCCCTAAGTATGTTGTTCTGGGCCTACCCCTGCCTCGCTTGCCTTCAATTTTGCCAGTGAGAGCTAGATGTTCAAGACCCTTAATGTCTATTCAGGTGTCCCAAAAACTGCATTTGTTGTTTCCTGATTGTTTTTAACATTGAGCGTCCCACGTGGGCTTCATCAAGCACTACCTCATTTGATTTCTTTTCCTTCCACGATACTCTTAGCAGTGTTTGCCTATATGTTAATAATATGCAACAATTGTCTTATCCACAAGCAGATATCAGCCAAGGCTGCTGCATTCTAATTTAGCACGGGAAAACACCCGAGAGGGGAATATATTGAAATACCAGAAATGTAGGAAATAGAAATCATGATTTTTTCTAAGAAATAAAAACAGACAGTACCCCTAAAAAAAAAAAAAGCAAATTTCTTAAAAATAATTGATTCACTGACCCCGACATGGCTAGAATGGCAAAATCAAAAAAATATTCTTGATGACTTACCACCTCCACACCTCCTGCGCCTCTTCCTCTCCCTTTTTCTTCTTTTTCACAGGCTCCTCAGGCACTTCTTCCTTCACAGCACCTTTGTTCTTCTTCTGTTGTAATAATAAAAATCAATGCTATAACAACTAGAACAGCAAACCAAGGACAAACTGGGAATTTAGTGGGTTTTTTCCAAACTCCCGTAAGTTTAAACAAAAGTTTGTCACTCATTCACAGCATGCTATTATATCCAAAGAAGAGCAACCATTAATTCACCGAGCACCGCTCCCGCACCATATGCGGTCCCCCGCACCATATGCGGTCCGGTAAAATTCGTGCCGCGGACCATGACCACAGCGTATGCAGGTTCAACTGTAGTTAACTATACAGTAAATCCAGCAGTTTAAAAATGCGTGCAAATAGCCACAGATGTTTAAACATGATACCAACAAGCTAGTTCTTTGTGGTTTAAGTATATACATCACTTTTACTGCGAATAAACAGGATATTTGTCCAACAGACTGAACAACTGAAAGTAAGGAACTTCCGCGTAGTTTGTTGTGGTTTCTCATAAGCAAAGCATGGCACGGCGAGGTGTGTTGAAGTTTATTGAAACTCTTGATAACTTTGGTGAGGATTTAAGTGACAGTGAGGTATCAGATAGATAACTTCAAAAATCAAAATGTGACTCCGCCTAGCAGTGATGAAGATGACTGAGAAAATTACATTAGACCTAGATCTAGATCAACATCGTCTCTCGATCGTGAATCTGACTCGTCAGCGAGTACGCAGCCTGGTCCAGCTGGGGATGATGATAGATCTCGCCCCAGTATTAGTTCAAATCAGCCCTCAAAGTGGAGAAGATATATATGTACCCAGACCTTGAACATCTAATGATAGATCTAGTCCTGGCACTAGCAGCACTGATGATGAAAATGCTTCTCAGTCTGTCACCGACGATTTTTATATAAATCTACTTCTAGATATTTTTAATTTTTCAAAATTAATTACCACTTACATTTTTATGCTACTTCACTGTACATACTCATGCTTCATTCTCCTACACACAAACACACTGCAACAACCATTTTGCGTAAGTTTATTATTAGATTTCTGTTGTTGTCACATCATTTCCCCCCTTTTTTTTCAATTTTTTTTTTCTGGGGCAAATTTGTCCCAACTTTCTGCCCCATACATTTTTTTGTCATTCATTCTTCACAAAATGTGTTTATTGTGTCTGTTGTACCCATATTTGAAAACTTCAAAGAAATAGCCTTCTATTTCAATTTTTTAATGAATTTTCAAAAAGTGGGGGAAATGGGTGGTTCCCTGGGGTTTGGAGGCCAATCGGGGGCCTGGTGCTCAGTGAGTTAAGTAGTTTTACCTCCATCCTATAATTATCTTTCACCCTGTAAGAGTTGATAAATCAGACACAAGTTTCGTTCTGTGGTGTCACAGCCGATTTGGTCGTAATTTGAGTCACCATTACAGTTTATTTACCACTTTTTTTTAAATTTCAATCCTTCACAAATGAGCTCAAGGAGTTCTACTTCCTACGTACATTCTACTTTCGGAAAATGTGTAGGTTTATGGCCTTTACTTGCTTGCTTTGTCTGTTCTCAAATATTTTCAAATACAATGAGGTGTGAAATCATATAATTTCCCATGACACCACAAGCTGTTTATTTGTGACACTTGGAGGTCTAAACATACACACAACTGGACAAATTTATAATACAAAAAAACGATGTATCTAAAGAACATTAACTTAAAACAATACACACAACTGGACAAATTTATAATACAAAAAAAACGATGTATCTAAAGAACATTAATTTAAAACAATCAAATTTTCATAACAACAATTAATTATACTGTACAAGTCCATTTCGGATGAAAAACAAAAGCTAGTCTCTAAAAATATGAATCAGCTGAGATCAAAGGTACTCTGTGCTTGACAACAAGACAGAAAAATCGCTCACTTCTATGTACGATTCAGAGATAATCCCCCCCCCCCCCACCCAAGTCTGACCCACAATCTATCTAGCTTCAACTGAATATAACTTACAGCTTTCTTGTCAGCAGCCTTAGGTTGAGGCTTGGGTTTCGGTTTGGGCTTGGGTTTTTCAACCTTGACAGGCTTCTCCACTTTCATTTTTTTGGCTTTGTTTGCTCTGAAAACCAAAATCACATTAGAAATAATCGTTAATTTTAAGTTCTGGAGAGTCAATTATTATCAAAACCACTAATAAAACAGAAAAAAAATTTTATACCCCCCCCCCCCAACTAGTTCTTTTGATACTAAAAGCCTCTAAGAAAATGTTTGGGTAAATTTGGTATGGCACTGTTCGTAATAAATAAGCAAGTAGAACAGTCACACTTCATGGACAGAAACAGACAATGGTAACACTTATAAAACAAAGAACAGAGCATCATACCACCCATCAACATCTCGGTATCTGGTAGAAAGGACAGACAGTATTATAGAGCTACTCCTATTTCTTGGGAAAGTTAACTGAAATACCTCGCTGACAACGGAAGGTCTTCCTCATCATCATCATCATCCTCATCGTCATCCTGCTCTTCTTGGTAATTTACTTCCCTCGCACGCTTCAGGGGCTGTGATTCCTTTTTGCGGACAGACTGCAAACAAGAAATGCACATCCTAGGTAATATTGAAAAGTCACACACTTTACAAGATGTGACAATTTGCAACAAACAGCATGAGAATTTCATGGCATTAATTCATATCAAAACAATTGCTGCACTTTCGGGGGGGGTTTTTATTATTTAAAAGCCAAAAATATACGAATACCTAAAGAGTTACCAAAATTCATGTTAGTAACACAGCCACAGTTCACTTCACTTATAACTTCTAAACATGATAAAAGTACAAGCGATGCTGGTTAACTAATCTTTAATGCATCCTAAAAAATTAATTTAATAATTTCCACAGAAGAAAAAAGGAAAATATAATTTATAACACTGAAAAGAAAACTGGTTTCAAAAGACTCACCAATGGCTTATCATCGTCATCACTTTCGTCTTCCGACTTGACAACAGGCTTTTTCTCAGGACTGGCAGACACAGGTTCACTCTTCATCTTCACTTCATCATTCTCTATGGCAGCTTTGACTGGGGATGCCTTTCCAGAAGAGCTGTCGTCTGCAGAATGCTCTTCTTTGACCTCCTCCTCAACCTTCACCTCCGCTTCTACCTTGATGTCTTCAGGCTCCTCCTTTACTTTCTCCAAATTTTCTTTGGGCTTTGATGAGGAGGAAGAGTGTTTCTCCTTACTATCCCCGCCACTTTTAGAAGAGGAAGAGGACGACTTATGCCTATCATCTTTGTGCTTGGAGGACGAGCTTGATGAAGATGAGGACTTGTGTTTATCCTTACTGGAGCTGGACGAGGACTCCCTGCTTTTCTCCTTGTGTTTAGCATCTGAAGAGGAGCTGCTCGATTTGTCCTTGCTGCTGCTGGAACTGCTCCCTTCTTTATGTTTGCTGCTGCTGCTGCTGCTGCCATCCTTTGGCCTGCTGCTGCTGCTGCTGTGACCATCACGATGCTTAGAGCTGCTGCTGCTGCTATCCTTGTGCTTACTGGAAGACGAGGAACTGCCTTCCTTGTGTTTGCTGGAGCTGCTTTTCTCATCTCGGTGTGAGGACGAGGAACTGCTTCCTTCTTTATGTTTCGACGAGCTTGAACTGTGTTTGGAGCTACTGCTGCCATCTTTGTGCTTGGAGGAAGAGGATGAACTGTGACCATCTCTGTGCTTAGAGGAGGAGGAGCTGTGGCCGTCCCTGTGCTTGGAGGAGCTGGAGCTTCCGTCTCTGTGCTTGGAGGAGCTGCTGGACGAGCCCCCCTCTCGATGCTTAGAGCTGCTTGAGGAGCTGTGGTGTTTGTCCGAGCTGCCGCTCTTGTGGGACGACGAGTGCTTGCTGCTTGAAGATGATGACTTCTCAGATTTGTGATTGGACAAACCATTTTCTTTAGGTTCAGCGTGACCATTGGCCTCTGAAGCTGAACCTGCAGACTCCTCACTCAACCCATTCACTTTAGCCTTCAGGTCTTCCACTGTGAATAGGTAAAATACTATCTCTAAAGCCTCATGCTGGGAACAAAAATCCCACAAGGACATACTTAAAGATATTAATAATTAATTTACCTTACTTGTTCTTATCAAACCTGTACTTAAGTTCAAACCACACTACCAGTATAGTATTGACAACAGTGTCACAAACTTAGCACTGCCCTACCACAGAAATCTTATAGAGAATAAATTTAATTAAAAAACTGTTCTAACTTTGGAAGAGTGTTTATATCGAATCCTGTTGGAAAATTAAAAATGTCTCTAACTCTTAAGAACTAGAGGCAACCCACACAAAGACAGTGCTGCAATACAAATCTTAAGCTGGGTATGATAAAATATGGAAAAAGAAAGCTACTAACATCACCCCCAAGCCTAGTGCAATAATCAATACAGCAAGACTTCTTTGTTCAGACAGAAGCACTGAGGAACAGCAGAGCTATCAGCTACTTATTTCAGAGGCAGATCAATAAAGACAGGATTTCTGTACACATACCTTAGACCTTAAAGGTGGGAAAACAGGAATTATAAGAATTGGAATTTCTTTTTTGTCATTAAGACAGGGGAAACTTTATCAACTCAAAGAGTTTTAAGACTTTTTTTTTTTTTTAAAAACAACAACAACAGCAACATCAAAGATTTAAAAACACTTCACTTCACAGCACTTACGCACAAGCAATATCATTTGAAAATAAATAGAGAAATAAGCCAGGGTCAGAGGTGGGAACGGACACATCCTCATCCTTGCTAAAATATCCCCCTTGACAGATAAAAGTATGAGTAGTCGGTCACAAACATTACTGAACTTGTTTTCTTTGTCCTTGTTTTGTTTTCTTATTCTTTTTGTCCATTTTAGGAGCATGAACGTTTGTAAATTATTGGCAAACCACTGACAGTACACATCTTGCCAACTTCATTTCAAACAATTTTTCACAACTGATTTCATCAATGATCTTTAAAAGAATACATTAATTAATAAATTATAATTAAGTAGCATAGACTTGTTCTTTCACAAAAAGCATCAAACTTTCAATAATAATAAAGATAAATGACATTTATATAGCACTAGCACTCAACCCTGATAATATAGAGCACAGGCTCTACATAAACAGAACATTGTGTCTTCAGACAAAAAAATCTCTATACATCTCATGAAACTAAAACAAAAATGACTTTGGCTGACATTTGAATAAATCAAAAGATTTTATGGGGTTTTTTTTTTTTACTCAAGGACCCGTCTCAAGCTTAGAATTCTAAAGCACCTTTTGTTAATTTTTATCTAATTTACACAAAGTTTAATCTTTAATATATCCACTGCAAATTTTTATATGAACTATATGACAATTTGACCAACGGTGCAGTAATATTTTACTTGTTTTTAACAACATGGGGGGTTTCAGGCAGCCAAAAAAAAATCTCAGAGGGTTTTGGTGGGGGGAGGGGCATGCATGTATTCGCAATATAAAATTAAGACATGTACTGCATGGAAAGTTTGCGCCCGATACAGCAAGTCGCATAAAGAACAATCAATACTAAACAGTAATTTGTATATTGGGAACCCGCGTTTATTGAATACTGATGATTGTCAAATAATTATTTTTATGCGATCTAGTCGTAGAATTGATTATTCATAAAATTGACTCGATTTTCCTCATTTCCTTAGTACATTTATATTTTCATAATGGGGTCAAATTTCCGGCAAATTTTCTTAATACTACGAAAAATTTGTAAATATAGGCAGGTCTGCACATTGTTTTGAACAGTTTGAAATCTTTTAACTTCATTCCTGATAACAATGGGTTACAATAATCAAGTATTAATAAAACTAAGCTATTTCGTGAGAAAACAGTATACTTAATATTGATTAGATGACTTATTTTTCTTTCTTTCTAAAATAATGCAGCTGATCAGAAGACTCACTTCAGTCGACACTGACGAACTGGAATCAAAATAGATGCAGAGATTTTTTTACTATTCTTGATCATACAATTTCCATACCATTACCAGTTTTTCTGAGATCGTTGTCAACCTAATTAAAGTATTTTGCACCGCTAGCCAGAACGACTTTTGTTTTATCATCATTCAACATCAATTTGGTTTTTTTTCCACCGTTTTCCAATTTTCAGAACAACAGATAATTTCATGTAAGTTGTTCTGCTGAACCATAAATCTGGATGTGTTGAGCACCCTGAGAGAACAGTTTTTCTATCATGCACTGCTTTTTGCTTTTAAAAGATAGTGGTCGGTGTTAACTCATTGATCCAAACCAAATATATATATATATAAAACCACACATAAAAGTTTTCGTTTTTTGACACTGACTGAAGTTTAAAACATAGCTGCAAATTAACCATACCATGTTTATGTACCCAAAACAAAAAATTTTGTGAACAATTGTAAACAATGAAAAAGTAAAAGAACAAAAAAAGAACAAACAAAAAATCAAACAAAATTATAGCAAAATTTTAATCACCCATCCTAACATAAAGGGCTTTATTATAAAAATGTTACACTTACTTAACATCATGTGTGTCATTAACTCACTCAACCCTAGGCCTACACTTCCTGGTTGTCAGCTCTCCCTAGAGATTTTTACCACTTTTTTTTAAATTGAAAAAAAAACCCTAAATTTTAATATTCCTACCCAAATTTGGTATATATTTCATTCAAACTTTTATTTGCGTGTGTATTTGGAAACTTGAAGGCAAAACATGTCATAGTTGATATGCAATTCTTCGTGGAAAAAGGTCTAGATATCTATATACAGAGTCAAAAAGTGAAGAAAGGAAGTGCCTCACTCTCTCACATGGTTCAAAAATATATCTTTCTTGGATCTAAATTTGGGCTTGCACTTCTGGTGAGTGTCTGTTTCAAACGAAAAATGGTTACTCTTTCAATTGCTATAGAAGTCTTGCTTCACCAAATTTAAGTGTGTTTTCGGTCACGAGAGCGAAATTTTCCATACTGATACAGTCAGCGAAAGGATTGGAGCGCTGTGCTCGCATACCGCGGCGTTAGAGCTGGGTCAGATAACGAACTAAAACATCTTGATATTACGGGTGAAATAAAAAATACTTTTTAAAAAAGCATTGAGTAAACTGTGAAAAGGTGTGGAATAATGACCTAAAAAATTGGCACATCTTACCTCTGAGCTACATTTTTAATTTATATCAAAACTTTGAATGACAAAACAACATGCAACTGATATGATGTCATCATATCCTGGGATACCCACACTATTTTTAGAAGGCCGTGGATCCTCTACACGATCTTTGGTTGAGATACTGTATTATCCGTATCGATATGTTACGCACAAATTTCACACTTGCGGCTAACTTCAGCCCGACAGGCATGCTCTGACTGGCTGAAAGGTGTCCAGCAAGTCAATTACATTTTCGAAATTCCGGAAGTGACACAAACCGCTCGTTTTGAACAAATGTCAACAATTTCATTCATAGAAACATTGACAGGTTTGAGCTTCCTCATTTTCCAGTTCACTGCATCTTTTTAATTCAATTTTTGAACTTTTCCTGTACGGTATAAAAGAGACTAAGCGCCACATAATGCAGAAAACTGAGCATCAGCAGCATTCTAGGCTTAGAGGTGAGTTTTAACTCTTATCCTGCGTCTGTGCCCAGATGCGTATCTTATCAGCAACTGATTACGTCGGACGTGCCGGGCAGGCCGCCGGGGTCACTCAGTGAGTACTGTTGGTGTACAGCGCGCGCGCCGGGAAACGTGTGTTTTCACCATGAATACCGCGGGAGTGTGTTAACTGATGATGAAGATAACGCTCTATCCTTCATAGCTTTCTATTTATAAAGTGTTACAAACACATGAATAACCCCCTCTCACAAGCAGATAAGACATTACGAGTAGTTACGCCCATTTGAATAACCTTTCTGGACGCTCTTGTTGTTATGAATGACCTGAGGTTCGAAAAAGGATAATTTAGGTCAATTTCCGAATGTTTTATACTCAAATTGTTCTTTGTACCTGCACAAGGGTATTCAAAACTATCAAACAAGCTCATTTTTTATCAGGTAGTATCATTTCAGGCAAAATCAAGCTCATTTGAAATATTTTGTATAGAAAAATGGAAGTTTTGTTTCCCGACTATCCTTTCGAGCTCTTCATGTCTAAGTGGGTCAATTTCTTTAATAATTTCATTGGACGAACATCTGGAGCTATCAACTTGGCATGTTTTGAATAAGACGTATGCCTCGATTACGAACCAACGCAGGTGGTTCTAGAAGAAGGCCACAAACGCACACAAACTCAGGCAGACGGACGCACACACACTTGACCTGTGTGAATGGGGATCCGACTCGGGACCCGAATGACACGTAAGAGGATGCGCGCTGCGCGTGCGCTGAGCCAGGAGCTACACTGACTCGGGACCAGAACGCAGGCGAGGTGCCGAAATAGGCTTATCGGGCTACATAAACCCGGCTCCCGCAGGATGAGGGTTAAGCAAGTAGTCAGTCTCTTCATTTTTATCATTTTATTCCTAGTTTTAGAAATTAAGTATTGTTGTTTTTTGGCTTTTTTTGTGTTGTGCCATGCGGTTGGCTATATTTAGATGTAGTCACGTGATCGGAGGGGTGTCCCAGTCTGACGTCACACAAGATGGCCACCGTACCTAAAAATAGTTTGCGTTGTTCTACGTTCAGTCGCATGTGACAAAACACGTCACAGCCCGTCTCCAACATAAATATAATCTCCATAAACCATAACTTTAACCATAACCAAAACAACCTACATGATGGGTAGCTACTGATGAACAAGACACTGGCTGATACAAGGGAACATTTTGGGAATGCGCTCGAATAGTTACAAAAACAGGAATCCTTCATTTCTAAAACAATACAACAGCTTGGAACATAATATAGATCTAGATCTAGATCTATTGAACAAAAATCAAATTATTTTTACTTCTGAATGAGCTTGTCAAAACAGCTGAGAAACGAAAGCTAGGCCCACTTTTTGAAACAGAACTGCAAAATCTAGGCCTAAATCTCTAGCCCTTCTTGATATTAAAATAAGGGCCAAAGACTATTTACTTGCCTGGCTCAAGTTCACTTCAACGAAAACATAGAAAATAACTAGACTTAAATTACTAGATCTAGATCTAGATCTAGCTAGATTCAAGACTAACATTGCTTTTCTATGAAAACAAACTCAAAATCCACCACCTACAATAGCGTATTAGATCTAAATCTAGATCTAGATCTAGAATCTATCTAGCCATTGACATACAAACTTGAACAAAAAAGTAGAAGCAACTTTTCAGTTCAGAAGACAATTAGAATAAATAATAAAGGAATAAAGGTCAAATATAGGGTTCATTGTTTTCTCATGATAGGCCTTACAAATATTTTTATATAGAGTCTAATCTATAGACTAGATCTAGATCTAGAGATCTTTTTTTTTAAAAATAAATCTAGATTTTAGATCTAGATCTAGATCTAGAATGAATCACAGCTGTCTGAAAAAAAATCAAACAGAATATTGAACAGCAACAGCTGAAAAAATCTCAACTCAAAAGTCATTAGATTTTCAGCTGTGCTACTGAGTTCAATGCCCTATCTTGAGTCTGGGCTAGCCTGTCTGAGTGCAGCTTGAATTTGAATGAACGAATAAAGAAGAGTGACAGAAGGAGAACAAAGAATGGAAAGGCCTGTCTAGAACTTATAAAGGACCAAAATTAAGCTAATATAATCAAACACAGTATAGATAAAAAGGTTATGACAGATAAATATATATTTGAACTGGTATTATAAAAGACTGGAGTCGACATAACCACGGGGACCACGCGTAACTACATCTGTCTTACCCGTCTTTGGGTCAGCCAAGCCTCCGTCACCGTCACCCTGGAACAAAGAAAACAACATTACCTCGATGAAACGTGTCCTAGACGACCCTCAACCAAGTAAACTAATTCTTATGATTTCCTTTAACAACTGTCCACATTTCAAATCAAACTGACTTCTTTTCTGGGCCCTGGGGATGATTTTCAAACAGCATGCCATACACTGACCACACCACTAGATTTGGCTATCTCCTGGATTCGGGACTTAGAAAATTTTTCAGCCATCTTGGGACTTAGCCGCAAAATGCCATTTTCGACCTTAGCTCGAGTCACGAGTGTAGCGATGATCTACAACTGTCTACACACATCAAAATAATATAAAAATAAATACAATAAAGAATGTACTTACAACTGATGGTTGGGACGACTGATCCTCATCTACAGAAGACATTTCAGCGTGTTTAAATGTCGTTGTTACAAAGCGATGTTATGGCGGGCCTTCGTCCCACGACTAAGTCCCGATTTTATGTCATTGGGCATGCGCAGTAAAAGAACTTAGTCTCCGACGAGGCTTGCTGAGTGGATGAAAACGCAAAGTCCCACGCTGCACGTTGCTTCGACTTCCAGGAGCAACCAGCTGAGAAGCGGACGGTTTAGCTTATATCACAACGCGAAAGTGATAAATAAGCTTTCTAATTATAAACACAAGTTTCAGAACGTAAAGGGCGCAGACAATTCGATTTAATACATTCTTTTCAGACAAATAATCACTGTATGATACAAAATGTTTCTGTAATTCGAGAATTATAAAACTAGGCGTGCGTTGTATTTATAATGTAGTGTAAGTTAAATCACTTGCCTATGAGCAGCAGCAGGGTGTAAGGTTTGTACGAAAGAAAAAGTAAAGAGCAGGAAGTTTAAAACTATAAAGATCGGCACGGCAGCGCGAGTCGTCACAGTCAAATTTGGAAATCAAACAAGTGAGGGCAGGCTCGTTTTGTTCGTTCGAGCGTTTGGAAGACAACATGGAATGTAAAACTGTTTACAACAAACCTTTGGAAAAGACCGTAATTTCTTAAATTGTCAAGTCTGACCAAATAGTGGGTTTTTAGAAATGTCCATGCTCTTCTTGAAATATCATGTTTCCTGTCCATAAAATATCACAGCACCTAGATCTATGTAAGGAACCCTCCTTTAGAGTGCAATACAGAGAGAAAACATATCGTGGGAAAGGGGGTGAACAGTAACCGACAAGGAAAATACCTTAATTTTTGTTTAAAATGCCTTTCTTCGTGTGAGTTATTTTATACAATGAGTAATTCTATCCTACACATCAAACTCTCATACGAATGTTCGTCTCAGTCTGGAAATACACCCACAGTGGGTCAGCTTAAATTTATTTGAACTGGGTCGAAGTACGTCCTTTGCAGAGACAGTTGTGTCCCGTAACTAAACAAATCAAAGTTTTCGAAGGACGCTGGTAGTTCAAGTTTCAAGCCGCGTCCAAGCTCATTAATCAAGTACAATGTAAACGTGTGCCCACTTGTCACTTATAACACGTTCATTTGTTTGAACTGATTATAGATCTAGTAATATAGATCTATGAGGAGCAAGAGATTTGTTGTTTTGTATTTTTGTTTCTTTTTTTAAAGCAGGAATTTGTACCAGATTAATCTCTCTCTCTCTCTCTCTCTCTCTCTCTCTCTCTCTCT